AGATAAATAGTCTGATCTCTCAAAACTGGTGGCATCCGCATTTGAGGGATATCACCAAGTACTTTGTTGTAAGACATGTAATCAGTAACCAGGGCCATGCTGAAGGCGGGGCTAGGGGGATTTCCAGTTCCAGATGCTCCCTGGAAAGAGACTGTTATTGATTTCACAGATATGGGAGCTGATAAAAGAGTTGAAGGAAAACGATATTTCTTGTCTGTGTGGATCTGTTTTCCAAATGAGTAGAGGCTGTACCCACAAAAACAGAGGCAGGTAATCAAGTGGTTCACTAGGGAAGTGATTCCCCGGTTTGGGGTACCTGAGATTATCAGATCTGATAATGGAACACACTTCTCAACTGATGATCTACGTCTGGTTGAGCAGATGTTTGGGATAAAACATAAGTTTGGGGCTGTCTATCATGCAGCCTCTCAAGGGCTTGTTGAGCATGCAAACAGAACTATAAAAGAAGAGCTTGCGAAAGTCTGCACAGACACTAACCTAATCTGGGTTGAAGCTCTACTGATTGTATTGTTCAACCTAAGGTCCACTCCGAATGCGACGCTTAATGTAAGCCCACATGAAATCCTGACAGGAAGAAAAATGCCCTGTCCTCTAACTGTTATGCCTAGAGATTCAACACCTCTTCTTTTACAGCATGCTGACATGAATGAGTATGTTAGACGACTGAACAACCCTGTGATGAGTGTCTCTGAACAGGTTATTGAAATCCTGCGCAGGGACCAACCTGAGGAACCAACACCAGTTGCAGTGGACAGCTGGGTCTATTAAAAGGTGCATAAACTTCACTGGTCAGAACCACGTTGGAAAGGTCCTTATAAGGTAGCAGAAGTTACCACACACTGTGTTAAACTGTGGCTCACTGAGAACAAGCTAAGTAACTGGATCCATAAGACACATTGTTCTCCAGCTGAGGATCCAGCTGGATGGACAGTGACTGAGGTCAAGGCTGATTTAAGAACCTCATTACCTGAGTTGACATACAATCCTGTAGAACCAGAGCTACAGTTCGAAGAGGACCTACACTAGTGTAATATTTATCAGAGACCAAAAACGTTGACAGGGACAGCAGACAAAATGCCTAGTCTGGCAAGTTTAGGCAATTGTCCTGGTGTAGTTCTCTGTATTCTGGGCCTCATTAGCCTAGTTATAGTGGTACCCATATTGTGGTGGGAAACGAGGTCCCACATACACCGTGAGAAAAGAGCTAATGTCCTGGTTCCACCCGAATTGATTTTTAATTTGAGTAGAACTTCCACTTTAATGGTAGATGCATGTGACATTCTGACTGCTGTGTGGCCACAGCAAAAGCAATTGAGACAGTCTGATAAATACATTTGTATACTGTCCTATGTCTAGTTTAATGATCAGTCTTACTAATCTCATTAATCTTACCAGAGATTTAGTTGTTGGGTTTCAGGAGCAACTGGCAGCCACTTTTCTTATGTCGTATCAGAACAGATTGGCATTAGACTAAATGAAAAAGGGGGTGTTTGTACTCTGATCGGGCAACAGTGTTGTACTTACAGCACATTCCCAATAACACTGCTCCTGAGGGCTCCATTGCTAGGGCCCTGACAAGGTTAAAAATGTTATCAGAGGAGATGGCTGACCATTCAGAAATTAAAAATTACATTGATGATTGGTTTGTTAAAATTTTTTGCCAAGTGGAAAAATTTTGCAATTTCTTTGCTTACATCTTTTGTGGCAGCAGTTACTTTGCTGGCCTTGTGTGGATGCGGCTGCATCCCCTGAATTAGGCATCTTTGTCTAAAGTGTATCACCACTGCCATTGATAATAGATATCCCAATATCCATGGGAAACTATGCAAATGATCTCACTCACTGAGCCCGGTGAGTCTGAAGAGGACCCCTCAACGGGGAAGAAGACTGTGATCTCCCTACATATTATTGCTAAAGGTTAACACATACCCACATATATTCTTGCATACACCTAGGTATTGTGGACTCATAGGTGTGTGTGATTGATTTTGACTATTGAGCAGAATTTTGTGATAAATGTGTGATGCTGGAAGAAGATCTTTAGTCTCCAGCATAATATATTCTTCCTGCAAATGTTATGATTAACCAATGATTGTTTGCTACATGTTGTTTAGACATTTCCACGTTTTTGTCTGAGAAATGTTATAATCGCAATGAAGACTCAGCTTTCACATAGAAGCTTACATATAGGATCACAGCAACAAAAACCAGGGGCCTGTTGCACAAAAGTAGAATTAAGACATCCAGGATAAATGACTGAGCTGAGCTCAATGAATCCAAAACACGTGCGTCCAGGCTTAATTGGTTGCACAAAGACCAAGCCAGGATGAGCAGACACGGATTCATCAAGCCAGGTGTAACCAATCCTGGATATGTGCGCGTTCACGGCTCACTCAAATAGACCCGCCACCGATCACAGATTCACTGATTCACCATGGCAACTAGAGCGGTGTACTTTTCCCCGTTGGAGGCACAAATCCTCATGGAGGCATACGAGGAGGCCAAAGAAATAATTAAGAAGAAAGGCAACACCGCCACAGTGATCAAACAAAGAGAAAAAGCGTGGCAAAGTATTGCAGACCGCCTGAATGTGTAAGTAGTGCACAATTACAAACTCACCGCTCCGCTGAAACATAACAATTACAATTTAAATAGTTAATTCACATCTCCAAAAACGCAGTTGTACTCTGATTATGAAACAGTTGAATTTTTAATTGAAATGGACTGCAGATATGAGTGAAATTGTGTACAGTAATTCCATCATACTGTATAAGGCTTTGATAAATTATCAAAGCCTTGCTTTATTACTACGCTCACTAGTACGGTTTAATCTTAGCTGTTGTACTCTGCTTCTTATGTAGTCCACCGATTTTTCAGTGTGTTCTGCTTTTATTAATGTAAAGCTGCTTTGAAACAATGAAACAATTGTGAAAAGCGCTAATAAATAAATGAAATAAAATTTAATTGAATAAATAGATGAGCTAATAATAATAATCTCTTTAATTTATATAGCGCCTTTCA